GCTCCTTCTCCCACTCCTTCTCCCGCTCCTCCCTCTCCTTCTCCCCCTCCCCCTCCTCCTGCTCCTCCTCCCGCTGCTTCTCCTGCTCTTCCCCCCTTCCTGCCCCCGCTCGTTCTCCCGCTCCTCCTCCCGCTCCTTCTGCTTCTCCTCCTCCTCCTGTACCGCCTCCCACGCCTACTCCCGTCCTCCCGCAACATGACAAGGATCCTCCTACGGAAAAAAAAAGGGCCTCCACGTGGCTAGCCACACACACACACACACACACACACACACAGAGAGAGAGAGAGAGAGAGAGAGAGAGAGAGAGAGAGAGAGAGAGAGAGACTGACCTCCCGCTACCATCCGACTGTGGCAAGTGTGAAAGGCGAACTGCTCCTTGTCCTGCTCCTCCTCCCGCTCCTCCTCCTCCTCCTCCTCCTACCGCTCCACCTACCGCTCCTCCTCCTGCTCCTCCTCCCGCTCCTCCTCCCCCTCATCCYCCCCCTCATCCTCCCCCTTCGTACTCCCCCTCCTCCCGCTCCTCTTGGTCCTTTTCTCGTTCCTTCTCCCGCACCTCATCCTGCTTCTCGTCCTCCCCTCGTGGAGCGGAGCCGCGCGGAGCCCGATTCGCACTGGGCTACCGCTGGACAACAAATCCAGCGATTCCCTGGGCCCGACGACGGTGTTTCCCTGGCCCGACGTGATGCGCGGCACCCGACGACGACTTTTCTCCGGGCTGTTTCCCTGGCCCGACGTAACGCGTGACATTGTTTTCGGCGCGGGCCTCGCCCCTGCAACGGTTCCGTTACCCGGTTCCACCCCTCCACAGGTTTCCCTTGGGCCCGCAACCGAGCATGTTGGTGGGACCTTTACAACTTTTAGTTGTATAGAGATATGGTAAATAATTTCGATGTGACCCTGAGGCAAAAGTTGTTCAGTTTATTTTTCTGCATAACATAGTTTTTTTTTTTTTTTTTTTTTTTTTAATTTAATTTTATTTTGCTAGGACCTTCCCTGATCCTTGCACGGCCGGACCGTCCCGGAAAATAGGGGTGCCCCGGCTGGTAGGCTAGGTTATTTTTAGAGAAAGAGATTTACTAAGAGTTTTATCGTTCGCCAGAATCGGCAACTCCACTCTAATGGTTCTCAACTACCGGTGGGGGCGTCGTTTGCAGCAGGGAAACCCTTCTGACTCTGGGACCCCTCATGATTGACCTTTTGGTTGTGAGTCATAAATGATTTTGTGTGCGGCAGAGGGTAAGGAAAAAACCGCCAGAATCAACATCCCCACTTAGCTTAGTCACATAATAGTCGGTGAGGGCGTCGTTTGCTGCAGGGAAACCCACCTGATTTTGGGACCCTTCACTTAAATTGTTATGGGCTGCAAGCGGTCTAGTCTGCGGCAGTGATTTCCATGATCGTGAGAACTCAATTTTGACTAATAGCCAGTGGGGGCGTTGTCAGTGCGAATACCCTTATAAGGGTATCACCCTGGTTTTTGCAAGCGACAAAAAATAAGTTTGGTTTAAGGTCTGAGTAGCCTGCGTGAGTCGCGATGGTGGTTCGACTACGCTTACTAAGTGGTTGACTAGAAACAGAGAGTGTGTGGTCGCGCAGACTTAAGGCGCACATTATCTCTTTTTTTTATTGATGATTGTAAGGCCAGTGTATCTACCGACCAATTTTTTTTTATAGTAAACTAGGATTAAAAAATTTCGTCTGTTGATTTATACGCTTGACTGCGACATATGCACTTGTGCAGAGGACAACATCGACAACAATGTAGCTTGAGTAATGGTCAGAGTATGCAAACGACGCGACACCGGTTTTAGGAGCCGTGTGGACCTGCGTGTGTTCGGGGTGCTAACGAAGTTCACCTATCCTGTCGACGTTGAAACACAGACCGAAGAGGTCAACGTGTGAGAGAGTGGTGGGGTCCCCGGTCGCGGCTTCCCTTGTTTCCCATTTGGAGAGCATCAATAACCTAGACTGAAAGAGAATTGAAAACTATTTCGAGTGGGCCTATGAGACCGCAACCCGAGGGTGGTGGGGGTTGTGGCGGGTGTACAGTCCACCCCCGACATCTGTTGGGAGAGGTCTGTGTGTAAGCACGCTCGTTGGGACCTCAAAGATGGTGGTCCGTGCCTGGGTGTAGGGGGACGAGCGCACCAGGGTGGAGCCGCAAACTGCAGTGGCCGCTCTCGGGGAACCTTCTCCACGTCGGTCCTCAAAGTTCTCATTTGGATAACTGCTACCACCACCGAAATCTGCACGGGGCCCGTTTCACCTAGGCCCACGTTTTAGGCTGGCAGTGGGCCCCACTCTCGACTCCACGAATGACCATCTGCGTGTGAGCTTGCCTATTGGGGACCCAAAAGGTGGAGCGGACCAGAGGAAACTCCGGTGGAGGCTGCAACTGTGCCGGGGTGTGAGCCGCTAGTCGGATCTGCACATAGGGGCGAAAAGCTATTCGAGCCGGCAGTAGCTGGTTTCCCCCGAAGTGCCCGTGAGAAGGCTGGAGCTGTTGAACAACTCATATTGTCGAGGAACCGGCTGCTGGCGGGCGTTGCACCAGCGCAGAGAAAGTCGACGGGGACGAAGTTGATAACGGGGATCCGAGGAAAGCTGAGAAAGGGAATGAATGCGGACGTGAAGCGGTGCCGGGTTCATGCAGACTAGGGTGGAGGTGGCGCAAGTGAAGAGGAACAAAGAGGAAGCGACAAGAAAAACTTGATTAACTTGTCCGATTCTTGACAGAATCAGGCAAAGTAAAATTTGGAGTCAAGGCTTTTGGGGATGGCGAACGTGAATCTGCGGCTAGTTTAAGGAGAGCAACTAGAAGGCGAGGTGAAAGAAAAAGAGGGTCCGCGGAGTGTCGGGAGAAGAGATATGGTCGCACGAGGAAAGCGAAGTCTCGCTCGATTCTTGACGGAATCGAGCAAGCGAGGTTGCGTATCAGAGGTTCTTATTCAATGTCAGGCGAATGATGAACTCATATCATTGGGTTATGAAGTGATCTAGTTGTTGCAAAGTGTAGGATCTGCGTGCGGGAGAAGCAGCTTCGAGAATTACGAATGAATCGTTCCATGTTTTAACAGGAAGTTCATTCTCATTCTCCGCATTTGATAGGCAGACGAGCGACTGAGTTGTTGGCTCCAATGGGCCTTATTTCGATCGTGGCCCTACTGTCATCCCCCGAACATAACGCATATGCGTTGTATTCGAGTTTTTCAAAAGAACGGGTTTTTGGAAAGTTATTTTTTTCCTTGAATACAAGAGCACTTCGAATGTAACGCATATGCATTTTATTCGAATAATACACATATGCGTTATATTTGAATTTCATGAAGAGAAAATTGTTGTACTCGAATATAACCTTTTTTTTCCCGAAGGTCAATGCCTGCTCTGTTTTTCCCCTTGTGAACAGGACAGGTCCGTGCAGGCCCGTAATCATAGATCATTGTCGGTGCTCTCTCTCTCTCTCTCTTTCTCTCTCTCTCTCTCACTCTCTCTCTCTTTTTTTCTCTCTCTTTCTCTCTCTCTCTTTTTGTCCCCTATGCTCTTCTTCAGGCAAGAAACTGCCCTCCAGGTCACTGACACGCGTTGCAGGGCTCTCTCTCTCTCTCTCTCTCTCTCTCCCTCTCTCTCTCTCTCTCTGCGTGAAGGCGTTTCTGACAGCCAAGAAAGTGACACTTCTGACTGCCAAGAATGTGGAGCGGCCAAGAAAGTAGAAAAATAAAAAAGCCACTCACCAAGGTCTCGCTGCACTACCGAGGTCTCCGAGACAAAAAAGAAAGGGGTTGTATTTGTCAACGGTCTAGTGGAAGATTCATTCGCATTTTGCACAATTGTTGAGGAGTGGAGCAGGGGCCCAAGTAGGGAAAAGGAATGAAACTCGACCCAGAACATGGAAAGGTACGTCGCAACTTTACTTTTATCTTTTTGCCAAGGCTTTGAGGCACCCAGCCGTAGTCCATAACTGAGCCTACTCAGCCTGGACTCGACCCCCTTGTGCAGGCAAAGTTTGTCTCGTTCACTCAAACATAACTCATATGCGTTGTAAACGAATACAACGCATGGTATGCATTGTATTTGTTTACAACGCATATGCCTCATGTTCGGGGGAAGACGGTAGTCATTTCGGCCCCGACGATCGTGTTTGCCATGGAGATGACCGACGCAACCCGGTGGTCATCGTGGGGGAACAGTCCGTTTTCACGGTGATTATCTCCTCCGCCCCGAAGTGGTGGCCACCACAGTCCGACCGATCGTTCTCATCCGGAAACCACCGCCATCGCCATCTGCCGTGAAGTTCATTGACGTGATCGTATTTGCAGTTACGATCTATGTTGTGGTTCTCTTGTCTGCATCCCACAGGTCGTCTCGATCCGGTTTGCTCGAGTCATGCTCACCACCTGCATCCTGCTTGTAGTTATCTTCCGTTTAACTTGCTTTCCGTCTCGATCGGCACCTATCTACCCATGTTCTAGAGGAATATTAATTTTCGAATTACAGGAGTAGCCAGCCCGATCTAAGATTTTACTTCCGTTAGTTGTTATGTGTTGGGGTTTTGACCTACCTTCTGTCGATCTTTTGTTCGTTCCCAGGTTGGTCGTTTCCTCATACTGCTTTCCGCTTGAAGAATTTCCCCCCCGATGCAAGGCGAGCCCAGTATAGCAGATAGCCAGAGGCGGATTCGCACAAGGAGAAGCGACGAACGTGTAGGAGGGCGGAAAGGAGGGAGGCCACGAGCAACCGCTGGGAGAGTTGTGGTTTGATCAGGCAGGTAGTGCGACCAAATGTTGACCGGTAAGGAGAGATAAAGAGTGCGCAGGTGTGGAGCGAGGGGACAACATACTGACCGGTAAGGAGAGAAAAAGAGTGCGCAGCTGTGCAACGAGGGGCCAACAAAAGGGATACATGAAAGAAGGAGTGAGAGTATGGGCGCTACACGTGCCCGAGTTTCAATAGAAGATTCAATTTTATTATGCGCATTTCTGTGAAGAAAGGAACGAGGTGTTTTGCTGCTCGTTATTTACGTCGTGATTACAGTCCGGGTGCTCGAAGTTGGAGTTGCCCTCTTCCCTCCGTGTGGTCAGGGTCGTCGCTGTCATTTTTGCCGTGGTAACTTCCTCCCCAGTAAAGACACGTATATGTGAGTAAGTGTAAGGCTTGGCGAGAAGCGATAGGACAAGGAGCCAAGGTTACCACTGCACTGGTCGTGGTAGCATGTGCTTATCTAATCTAATTGCAGTTGATCTCCGAGCTCAAATAGTCAGCTCTCTACTGGTTGGATTCGATTGTAAGCGAGATCCAATATATTAAGACTTCGAAAAAGAGGTAAAAGTTCGGGAGATCTTGATTGTTTTTTCCAGTTGAGTATAGAGGGTAAGTCATTGGGCCAGCCATGAGAGTGCAGGCGTATCTGTTGGCCAGTGTGCTGCTCATTCTGCCGATTGAAGTACAGTGAGCCCAAATGCGGGTTGAACGCTTGTTGGGGCTTGGGGACGGTTGCACAGCCGGGTTCTGGGCGCTCGTGGCATGGCGAGCTAGACCTCGTTGTTGCTTCATTATGGAGAGATAGAAGACAGTGTTTTTTATCCACAACCCGTGTCTTGAGCTGTGACCTGTGCATTTCAGGCCACGAAGCTGCGGGGTGACTAAGCTCGTTGAAGGGGAGGGTATTACTG